CCACCCAACCAACCAACCAACAACCCATCAAACCACCAAACCGCCCACCTAATCACCCAACCAACTAAGCAACTAGCCACACAACCACTCATCCATCTGCTCAACCACCCAACCAACCACCTAACCCAACCGCCCAACCACCCAACCACCCAACTAACCAACCAACGTACTACTGTTCGTAATTATTGTTATTATGTTTTTTTTTGCGCAGCCTCGAGACTCGACTCATTGTGTCCGTCACTTATCGTACGCATCGTGTTGCCGCCATCTTTCGCAGTGCCGTCAGCCAGCCATTGAGACTGTTTATAATTGCCAGGTTCACTTATTCAACCTTGCGACACAACATGGCCGACGTAGTTGTTGTTGTGAAAGAGGCTGTGGATGGAAAGAAAATCGTCGTGAGAGAGACAGTGTGTGAGCGTGATACTGAAAACAAAAGAGACTTTGAATACTGGGAAGGGGTTGTCGCTACGAAAACACGTGTGTACTACGCGTTCATCGATGACACCCTCGCTTTGAGGGTCGTGGTGGGGTTGGGGTACGACGACCTTGATTGCCTTGATGAGGTTGTAATGCATGCAAAAAAGCTTTCGGATGTTGTTCCCGAAGCCTGTGAACCCCCCAACTTCGATATAATTGGTCATTTGCTAAGGTGCATCGTGTCAGTCGTTGCGGTCGAGCATGTGGAAAGGTTAGCACGCAATGCATGGTATTTCTCCAAACTCGACCGGCCGCTGCAACGTCGTAGTTTTCTCCACGGAGATGTGCGCAGTGTGATGCCAAAGGACGGTTGCGGACAACAGTGCGAAAGTGCCAACGAACCATCATCCCGCTCGTCTCATGCGTAATCTGAAACAGGTGGGTTTACGAACAAAATCGTAAAGGTTTTCAACATTCGACAGCGTTCAAGATCGCGACTACCCACTCATCCCATATATATGTATAGAGGGCGATCCCCCTCCCCGTATGGTACATGCAGAATATCATGTTCGCGTTATTCGTTACTCGATCGTTGGATTCATAACTTACGGTCTTGGTTTCTGTGAATTGCAGCAATTTTCAAACGTCGTACATAAGAATCGACGATGCATTGCGCGCTAATGATTTTCCAATGTTACGACACCACAAAACTGACAGGCGGCCACACCGTATACTATTACGAATCAATTACTCCCATAACATATCCTATCGACGATGCAGTGGGATACCGCAATGGAGACAAGAAGGTGGTTCGTCATTTCGTTGTCAGCGTCGAGGAGGAACGAGTCGTCAGGCTCACTATAGAGACTTATATTCATGACCACGCCATCGAACACGTTCATGTCCTAATGTCTAAGCCGACCATGTACTTCAGCACCTTTGTTCTCAAACCGGTCGACGGTGATTTGATGTATGATATCGTCTTTCCCCTTGTGCATCGCATGCTATACACACACTACGGGACGGTCGCTCGGGACGGCGTCTGGCGCCTGGTCGTGTCACCGCCCTATTTTGTCTCCGATGGCGAGGATTTGTCTGCCATGTTTTATCCTTGCAGTGCGATCTAGCGATGAGTACCATTCGGTTTTTTTTTTCCTATGTTTCTTCGTTGTTGGAGAAAGACAAAATGATGGTTTCAAATATTGAACATTTTGTGTATACATATGCAATCGTTATCTCCCATGTATTTGTTATATGTTTTGAGTTTTGTTTATTCACCTGCTTTGCGTTGTAAAATTTGTTTTCGTTTTCGTTATGTGGAGGTTCAGTACTAAGGTCATCGTTGCCCGTGATGTTGTGTTTTGTAGATTTCTAAAAATTAACATATAAGCGACAGAACAATATTCACCCATTCCTATACATGGACCGCCGACGACGCACGGCTGGCGTGCGGGCCGACGCAGTCGTGTTTGGAAATGGGACAGATACAGATCCTTTCCGCGACGAGGAGTTGACAGTCGCCGAGATTAGGAGTCGGTGGCCGGGACCCGCAGCGCTTTTGGAGGAGGCTGTGACTTTTGTTGGGCTGGACGAGCATCTGCAACAGTGCATGAATCTGCTTATTGGTCGTACAAATCTCGAACCAAAGCAGAATCGTTACAATGGATATGTCGCTTTTTCTCAGTTGTGCGGGTTCGTCGTTTCCCGACAGAGATTGCCAGATGAGTTCCAAACGGCAATGCGGGAACGATGGCCAAATACAATCATTCGAGGTTTTGAACTACGACAATGTGATCCTCCTGAAAACGCGCGCCCACGTCGACGTGCACGGTGGTAAATGCTTCACGACACGATAGATAGATAGATAGATAGATAGATAGATAGATAGATAGATAGATAGATAGATAGATAGAGAGAGAGAGAGAGAGAGAGTACGCTTGCCTTCAGTGTGAGTACGTATGTAAGTCCGACTGTGTGTTTGCCTGGAAACTGACATTTCTTATTGTCGTGACTTGCAGGGATTGCATTATGTAAAATTGGGTTTCCCTGGTGTACATCATCTTCTTCTTCTTATAATCCTCGATCTCTCATTTGAAGTTCATTTATTTCTTTTTGTTATTGTATGTCATTGTAGCATTAGATGTGTGAAAAAAACGATTCTAATCCTCGCTCTCGCCACTCAAGTTCAAAAAACTGACATAAGATACCATCACATGTGTGGAAAAAAAAAGAAATCACAGCCCCTCATTTGTTGTCCTCTTCTCCCTCTCTGCCTACGGTTTACCGGGCAGTTCTATTTGACGATATATATATATCACAATAATGTATGACGATTTTTTTCGGGCACTCACACGCAGAAAATATCAAACACGCCCACACATGCATAAGAAGAGGGGGAGAGGTGACAGAGTCAAAACTGCACACAGACAAGGATAAGCAGCGAAATTCAACCATGCACACATGGGGGAGGTCAGACAATGACTCTCACTCTCCGATAGACTCCCAACAAACAATCACAATAAAGAACCTCAACAAGATCACAATTCATATGATGCTGATGATGAACCAACTCGAACGAATATCATAACAGAGTTTGTTTCAGTCCCTTGTTCCCCAATCGATTTCCCTCCTTCTACTAATAGAGTACATTAATCTAACCTACACCTATACCGGACTGACTAACCGACCAACACCGTTGCAGTTTCGGCCTCTCGGCCTGTACCGAACCCGACTATAGGCTATAGAACCGTCTATCAGCTTAGGCCATTAGGGTCTGTCTGTCCTGGGGGTAGTCCGGGCCTGCTATTCGCAGCAAGGGTACGTATAGGAAATTTGAAATACTGTTGGGCTTATATTTCCCATATGTGCAGATATGACCCTCACGAATTTTCCTCAGAGGTTCGTCTCACGATTAACACTCAGTCGAACAAAAATACAAATGTAACCCTACGGGGTAGTATACAGCCTTGCCATCAGTCTTGGAAGTCAGACTGAGCAAAATATATATATATATATATATATATATATATATATATATATATATATACAAGTAAAGAGACGGACATAATGTAGCGTAACAAACAAGACACCATGAGATGTGTGTGAACAACGCCATGCTCAATGAAATTCGGATCACCAGACCGATGTCAGGTCAACGATAAAGCCATTCAACCAGTTAAACGCTGAACAACTCTATATCGTCACCCTCAGATTCGGAGCTCGATGTCTGGACCCAATCATCGCATGCAGGCACCACATCGTCCTCCACGTGCCCGATGATGAAAACACGGTTCTCCCCCACTGCCTCATGGTCGGAATCTGAGGCAGCATCATCAACGACTTCCATTGGGTCGCCCCCACCGTTGACGAACAAATCATACGGCAATGGCCCGGCTCCATAAGGACAAACCTCCTGCCGCAGAAGCTCTCGAGCCCAGTCTGAAACATGAGTTGAACCGAACACTGACGCCGCCAATCTGTCCTCCCAACAGTCGATCGCCTCGTGACCGTAGTGTCGACGGAAGCCTGGTCTCGCACGTATGGAAGTGCCCGCAGCAATGCGAGCAACATACCCGACCAGGTCGCGCCAGCAGTGACTGTTCCACCGAATCACTGCGATCGACAAACGTGCACAGAAAGACTTCTCGAAATGCACCGACTTCTTCGCATAGATAATGATGGTGCCCTGAAAAGTCTCCACCGCCGA